AACTTTTTTTTTCAGAGACAAACGATTGGAAATTCCAACTTTTTTGTATTCAAGTTTCATTAGCATTTACTTGCACTCTAGAAATTGAGTGAAGAAACTGAGTGAAAAAAAATGAGAAAAGCAGTGGTTTTACAGCCTACAACATTAGCTGTTTTGCCTGCATGAGTGCCGTGCATCCGCAGAGGCTTTCTCGAAATTCGTCACTCGACTGAATACTAAAGCTGCCGGAAAAAATATTCGGAAAAAACGGATCTACTTCTCAACACATAGAAAAGTCCTTCAAAGCAATAAAACCACTTCAAAAACTATGGTTTACAACACATGATTATAAGTTCTAAACTGTCAAAGCTCTTAATGTATTCGTGACTGAAAAAAGTAGCCTTCCTAACTAATTCTAAGTCTTCAAAAAAGTTACCAACCCAGCGCATTTTCTTGTACGATCTGAGCCGGCAATAACATCAGGCAATCGGCATAGAAATGACTAAAAACACCTTAAACCATAGCCACTATCACTGCATACCTTTTCTGAGATTTTCTTCTTAAAATCCAAAATAATCTTCACCAGTTTTTCGTTGGGATAAATAAAAAGCATGCAGTGTCGGCCCTTGATTGGGCCGAATGATGTTTCCTCATTGATATCCAGACATTGCTGCCATGCTCCCAATTCTGCGAGATTTCCAGCCAAAATTCCTGGCATTAGTTTTGACGAGGCATCAAACACTAATGCGAAGCGAGAAAAAGTAAATTTTAACAGATTTTCAACCCTTAAACTGGAGCCGTTTCTTCACGTTGTCATTGAGGATTCCGGCCATTAACTCGGAATATTGGAAACGATTTAGAATGCAAATAGGATTTAAATTCGCTATTGGTAGTTGGAAAATATTTAGTCATTGAATTGGTTATTGATTCGAACGAAAATTGGTGCCTAAATAATCTTTAACAGCAATGTTTGCTTAACAGAGTGTTTAGCAGAGAAGCATGGAAAGTTGCTAACTTTGACGGCGTCGTAAAACACGGACACTGGAAGCATAAAGTCGTAACATTAGAATAACTTCCAACATCAATTTTCTTGGGAGTTGAAATGTTCTCTTAAAAACACGCGCGACAATGGGTATTACTCGGAAGGTTTTTTCAACTGCCCTTTATATTCCTGGTTTAATTAACATTTTGGAGGAAAATTTTGTGAATTTGCTTGCTTACTTTTCAAAGCCCAAGGCTCCATGGCTCTCAAGCCCAACTTGAACTCATTCACATGGTCCCTGCAAAGTGAGTTGTTCACATCGCTTAAACCGTACGTATTTAAAATTTGATTCATAATAAGGCCTTGCTTCATGTTCAGTTTGATGGGATTGCGAACTTTCGTTGCAGTTATGTTTGGCTCATTTGGCGATGACCTGATTTCTCTAGCGATCTCTTTATTAGATTTCTCCGCAATAATTTGCCTGATTAGATAGGGCGATGTTGTTTGATCTGCAAGAAATTGCAAAGTTCTGTATTATTAATCTTCTTTCTTGATAGAGATTGAAGCGCGATCGGAGTGGTCCTAATGAGTGGAGGAGAATTCCTGCAAAGCCTGCCACAACTAATTTCCAAGTCTTTGAAAACTTACCAGTTTTAAACTTATTCTTCTCGGATTTAATCCTTTTAGCAACGGGAGTAGCTTTTTGTTCGGGCATTTTTCCGTCATTTACGGTGGCTCCAGTGAAATTTATCTTCGAAAGTCGATTTTTTGATTTGGCTTTCTGGAAGATTAAATTTTCGTTTGCGTCGGTTATTACGACATTTTTGTTCGGCTGGCTAAAATTAAAGTTAACTGATGGATATTCGACGAACGTTGCAACGTTCCAGACTGAAAGGAAAAGGAGAATAATTGCAAATAGATATTTTATGCCCAGCATTTCGTGGTCTGTAGGCTAATCTCTTGGGTCGATGAGTTTATATACTAGAATGTTACCACTCTAATATGCAAAAATGTATGTTATTGCCGTATAACCACTACATGCTGTATTTTCGCCATTTTAGCGGTTGTCAGAGACACAAATTGCCTCTGTCATCATTCAACACGCTTAAACATGGTCCGCATTATCTTGTCAGCTAAGTTTCTGAACTCTACAAGCAATAATTACATGTCATTTATGTCAGGTCCATAGCAGGTTTATTGTCCTGTTCATTTTGCACTAAATTACAGCTTTTCGGTTACGATTTTATGGTAAGCGAGTCATTTGTATCAACGTTGTCGCCAAAACTGCGAAATCGTTGATGAGGAACCGTTCAAAGGCGACCTGCCAGAGGTTTTGAAGATTCAAGAAACGATCAGAAGAAACCGCACTTGCCGCTTTTTCCTGCTAAATTTCAAGTTTTCCATGAACAGGGAGTTTGATTATTATTTGAGCATGATTTCAACGAACATTATTTGATCTGAATTTGGCTGTCGCTCCAACTATGTCTGCACGTAAAAACGCAAAAGCTCATATCACTGGAACAGTTTGAGTTACGAAGGCTATTTTTAAACCTTGGCATATAGATTAAGTTACACATTTACCCACTATAGCACAAAGTGTGCAAATGTTTGAGGTTTTTACAGGAAAAGCCAAATTTGAACGTGCTTTTTAGTTATGCTAGGTTGTTTTGGCAAAACTGCTTCATCAGTTCAGACAGTATTTTTGCTAATAACTCCGGGACGAATAAAGGAGGCGCGAAATTTTCTGCGCCACTGGATAGAGAATTAAATTATGCATTTACCAGTTGAAACATCAGTGGCGAAGTATTTCCAGATTTTACACAAGAAGCACAATTTTAACGCGATTTTTTAATTTAACGCTATTAAGTTTTCCCTCGGTTTTATGCTGTGAGCAAAAGAAAGCATTTACAAATCTTAATCTGCAATTTCAGAGGATTATTCTCAACATATTTAGCATCTAAAGTGGAAATGTTCGTGAAAATCAAGCAAAAGATTAATCGGAAAAATCTTGTCAAAATCACGCTATGTATTCCGTCGCTCTTGCTAATGCCACCAAAGAAGCCTTGATAACTAATACTTGGCTGGAATGTGGTCATTCATTTAGCCAACCTTTGGACAGAATATCAGTCTGCAGGCGCTCAAAATTTCGTGAAAATTCGAGAAAAAACTGATCTGCGAGCTAATATTGTAATTATTCTGGCGCTGTTATTTGCTCGAGCAACTAGAAAAATTCCCAAATCATTACCTGAACCGAATCTGGATCTGCCATTTAGGGATTGTTTTAACAACATGTCAATCTATAAAACTCTAAAGTTTTACCAAAATCTACGAAAAGACTCAGATGCGACCAGGTGTCGAAATCAAGTTAGATTTTCCGCAGCTCACAATGATCCGAGCAAAGAAGCATGGATAAATTGAATGTGTCTTCCTTTACACAAAATATCAAGCCACAATTGCTTAAAATTGAATAAATATTGTATAAAACTGCTTTGATTGCCAGCATTTAATTTAGTAAAAATGTGGAAATCGTCGGATTTGTTTATCTTCCAAACGGGTTGGAACGCGAAACTGTTTTTGAATATGTATTGCTGTGTGAAAAGGCATTTTCTACAAATTAGTCAACAGGAAGAAAACGATTTGCTCGACTCATGATTTAAAATGCAATTTCAATGTGTGATCAAGTGTAGGGTGTGCTTTTTGAGGAATAATGGGTAGAAAATGGAGAATGGGGCGCCAGCTTGCAGCAAACTGGTAAGAATGATTTATAATCTATAAATCCTTTAATTTGAACCGTGTTTAGTTTTTCGAAACGCAGCTGAAGTTTTACAGATTCTTTAAATTTCCTTTTTTTGGTTTTGCTGATTTTCGATAACATGGCTTTGGACTGATTTGATGCTCTACTAATCACATTTTCTTTTCAGGTGGCACGATGCAGCTTCTTCGGTAAGTTTGAAATTACTTTTCCCCCGGTTACCATGTAGATGTAGAGCTTTTAGCCCCATATTGTTGACTTGCATTTCATGATATTGTTGCGTGTTATATTTATTCGACGTGGAACGACGAGGGAGTTTCTGGATTTTGTATCGGTTTTTTTGTTTAAAAAATTAACTCGTGGTTTTCTATGGCAGACTATTTTTTTATAACGGTTTAAATGCAAAGTCCATGTCGTTCTTCTGTAAACTGCATATTTATTCTCGTGTAAGTTATTTTCTATCAATTAATAGTGTTTTTCGGTTTCCAATTACACTCAAAACTAAGGGGTTTTTGAATTCTCAATGAGGATTGCTTAGATGTTCAAATTTCAACCTTTCTTGCCTCGTTTTCCAACATTAAATGGCAACGTTTAATAACCCCTACCCTTACTCGTACCCCTAAAATAAGGGTGTTCTGCTGCGAACACACTTTTAATTATCGTTGAAGGATGCGTGTCAATTATTAATATTTTCGTGCTGTAAATTATTTTTTTGCTGCTAATAAAGTTAATAAAACCCCATAATCCAGGCTAAAGTGCCCTAAAGGTATGTGAATTTTATTTATTACTTTGTTGTTCTAAATTTTTCTTCTAAATTTGAGTCACTGAATTGCGTTGAGTTTTTCGAAGAAAAAAACGGGTTTTTTTTGCAAAAATTCAGCGCTCTAGATCCGGACAGCATTTTATTTTGTAGAAGTAAATGGCAACCAGGGTTGTAGTTTTTTTTGATAGCAATTATGCTGCCCGCATGTGCAGATTCGCATTTTATATAGCGGTTTTCTGAAAATGGTAGCGCATTTATTTTCGCATTCTGGCCGAATTGTTGATCTATTTTGGGTTTTGCTAAAGGTTCATATATATTTAATTGTTTTCTAGATAAGTTTGAAATTTCAAGAGCATTTAAAAATCTGTTGCTCTTGAATAACTTTTAAAATGTTAGATTTTCCATAAGGGACTACATATGGAAATACGGAAAACGTTAGAATGATTACTTCGATATTTTTACCATTTTCCCGATAAAAATTCCAGAACAAAGTTGTGAAATTTTTTTTTAACATCTTTGCCGCTCGCTCTTAAATTTGAGACGAAACCCTTTGTTCAGAATGTTCTACAGAGTGCTCTAAAATTGTAACCGCTTCCGAGAATCAAGCTCTTAATTCCCACTGTTTTGCCCATTAGTTTTTATTTTAGTTTTTGCTTCTACCTCTTATTAAGGTGTAGAAGTTAGAAATTTCGGTTCGAACTAGGAACTATGGGGAAACAGTTCTCAAAACGATCTATCGAAATGGTTTTAATGGTTATTTACATAATATGCATGGGTTTCTGAGGTAAAAGCTTTTAAATCCTGAGGAACTTTTGTCCTTTCGGAAGTGAGGAACATCGAAAAAAGCCTGTTTTGTCAAAGGTGATCTGTGAGGAGCTTGATAACAAAATGTCTAATAAATATTAACGTTGTAATTTACTTCCTGCTTATTCTTAGAAATTTCCCTATAAAATATTGGATTGCAGGTAAAAATAGCAAGGACGTGATTGTTATTGCGTTTCGTCCCATCTTGTTTCTCCATGTCACATTAATTAGTCCTCAGAGCCCTAAATTAGCTACGCCTTTGATGCGAATATGCCAAATAATTGGGTAGAACCTAATATTGTCTTATTCAAAGCAACTGAAAAAATTTCGAATTGTAGCTTGTAATTTTGGTGAATTCAGTCGCCTTTTAAGGTATTTGTGAGCGAATCTAATTATATCTAAGCTCCAGTTAAGGGCACAATTAAAGGCGAAGTTGAATTTAAATTTAAATGGTTTATCTCACGTGTAGAGAGGAAGTAATTTGTGCAACATTACTTATTCCATTAAAACGGATTTTGGCACTCAATACAAGACTGAATGAAGCGACTGGATTTCGGCATTAAAACGCAGAAAGTTTTTCCTCCAAAGAAACCGTCAGCTGATTGAAGTACGTTTTCCTTTCCGACATTATAAGGTGTAAAATTACTGCGGTGTTCCAACGGTGCAAGCTGGAACTTGTTTTTGTGCTAATAAGACAAATTACAGAGAGGCCTTAACTAGTCGGTAATAGCTTGCGTTGAACTTCGCTCGCCTTACCAGAGAATCGATCTAGATTAATGGTCGGGACTTGTTACAATATCATGATTCATGATGCAACTTTCCCAGTTACTTCGGCCCCATTTTATCTTCGTTTCGCGACTGAACCCTTGAAATATTGTTAATTGGTTGGGATTAAATATTTCATGTTGGTTTCACTCGTCTAACCACCCACCGAATAATACCATTCTCCCAGCCAACATGGTTACACTTGCAGAGCGGCAGAAATTTTAATTGAAAATTCAAACTGCCACCGTCCCCTAATAATAAGACTAAATTAAAATAATTTCCCAGCGCTGTGAGCCAGGTCCAATGTCAAGCCCAGTTTCATAGTTTTAATAATTACATTTTCTAAATGCGGAAATGTGTGAAATTGCGAATTCTTCACACAAATTCACTTTAATGCCCCCTGAAATTTTCATATTCTCTCTTCATTACCTTGGACGAGCTGTTTTGGTTAAATGGGATCTCTTTTTGGACATTCCATGAACTGTTCCGATTTTTTACCTCTTAAAGAAAAAGTTAAGTTAGTTGATTTAATCAAATGCAAATCCAGATTGAAATAATGGTGCATGTCATTCAATCTGGAGCGACAAGCGACACAAACTGGCTAAGGCAGACTTAACTGGAAAACAAAAATTAATTAATCAGAAAGATGCGACTGAAGTTAATGAAAGCGAAACAAGCGGGAACGGCGCTCTAAATTAGAAATAAAGTTTTAATGTTTGCAGTTTCCTACAGAGCAAATGAAGAGTAATCGTTGCGACTATAAGTTAAACTACTTCAGATGCCGCAACATTACGACTGCACTCCTTAACAATTTTCTGCTGTGGAGTTGAAGTTCTTTCCACTTGGTATCGGAAGTTTTCAATGTGTTGGATAACTTCTTTTGTTTTAATTACCAAATTTGTTGATTCAGGATAACTGTTGATTCCACCATGGAAAACGACCTCAGAATTTTGTGCTCAGGTAATCCTGCTGGCCAATTCCTACGAATTTTGCGGTAATAGATTCGATACGGCTGCCGAACGTGTAA